TGACATCCTGACCCCTGCATACACCATCAAGAAACTAATCACAAACAACCCTCATGCTCAGCTTGCTGCTAAATTAAGCACCATACAACATATTCACAATATACAAGCTGAAAACAACATTGCACAGACCATATACACTGACAGATCACTCAATACAGCTACAGGGAGGGCAGGAAGTGCTGTTATTGCTCATCAGCCCGATGGCGGTAAAATTCAAAGAAATATCGGAATTAGTAACTGGGCGTCCACAATGCAAGCAGAGTTGGTAGCGATACTGGTAGCACTCAAAATTATTGACAACACTGAAGTAGACAGCTTAATTATTTCCGACTCCCTTTCCTCACCACGAGCAATAAAGTAATAACGTGCTTGTCTTGGAAGCTAGACGTAGATATATAAGAATACTTAGCAAGAGGATAAATATAAAAATGTTGTGGATTCCTTCTCACATTGGCATGCAGGAACATGACAAAGTTGACGCCCTTGCTAAGGCTGCAGTAAATAAAGACAGTATTGAATGGAATCTTGAGTTATCAAATAGGTCCCTTAAAAGTGTCATGAGACGAGAACTCCTAGATGGATTTGAATTAAGTAGAACAGTGCAAACTGGAACTAGCAGGTCCATTGTTCATCACAATGAAATGTGTGAAGTAAAACATGTGTATGGGGCAAGTAACAAAGTCAGTAGACTAACAGATGTTGTCACAGCTCGTATAAGACTTGGCTACAAGTATCTCTTGGCAGTTCGCCTTGTATAGGGATCTAGATGAAGTAAAGTGTAAAGTGTGTGGACAAAGACAGGGACACACACTCGAACACTATATCTTGAATTGTAGTAAAATTGAGCCTTTTAGAGATAAATCTAAGCTCACTCTGTATGATATGGCAACCTATCTTATTACCATAGATAAATTACCTGAAATCCTTGCACTGTACCCACATTTCGCTTCCAGTAGATGAACGACATATGAGATTCAGAAACAAGTAGTGTATTGTGAGGACTAATAATAAACAGAAGCTCCCCTATGACTCTGTAATATCCCCATTGGTCAAACTATTATGTATTAGCAATAAGACCTACCATTAATGTATGATGACTTACTGTAAATATGTAGCTCTTGTAATAGCACTTTCTCTGTAACTAGCTGACATTGTAACTATAAGGTGTGAAGGATTGATGAAATTGTTTATGTAATAATCTAAGATGAGGTCTGATAAAGACCTTTTGTGCCCTCTGTAATGCTTTTGTGCTACCACTCACAGGATAAGTATGGGGTACACAATAAACTAGCTGCCTTCGGCAGCAACAATCAAAAATCAATTGGTGAAAGACTCCATTTCTCATTTTGTTTTTTCCCTTCCCTTTTACTAAGGAATAGTTAAGAAAATGTTGAAGTTATGTAGTGGGATAAAACCTGCATCCCTGTTATTGGTTCACATTGTTCAGTAGTACACACAACTCCCAATTTGTGTATACATAGCCTGTAATACATACCCACACTGACTTTTAATAACCCAATACTGTAACCCAAGAATTAGTATTCAATATACATCAACACAATAAAGATGCTGTATGTATTATGTAGAGAAGTCAGAATAGCATGGCTGAGACAAATAACCCAATCCTCACATGATATAAAATGACAACGTTTCAGTCCGTCCTGGATCCTCGTCAAGTCAAGGAGAGGAGGGAAAAAAAGTGAGAAAGAGAGTTAGTAAAACAGAAGATGGAAGGTGAAGTGAGAGGAAGCGAACCTGCTTAATAAAAACAGATATTTGATTTTACTGACAAATGAAATCATTGCTTGCTCACAAAGGTCCTGTAGCTTTGGACCTTTAGCCAAAGGTCCTTTCATAATCCAATATAGATCTTAAAACCTATACAGCATAAGGGTAATAAAGATTCTCGATGGGAAAACTGACCATTTAATTAAAGAGGTTTCAATGTACATGGCAAATGAAAATGTCATTAGTTAATTCATTAATGCACTGCTCATGTGTTGTGAGGCTGCAAGTGCATAACCTTCCCAGACTTGATAATACTTGCACTAGAGATACACAGTACTGAATGAAGGTTCGCCTTGCTAAGTGTCATGGTTAACATTTATCTTCAAAAATATTCCAATTTCATGACAGAACAAAAATGTTGTACTCATTAAAAAAAATTAATACCATGGGACTCTGGTCAAATGAACCCTGCCTTTGCAGGTCTCCACATTCAGCAGAATGGGCCATTCTGATCAATAAATCAAGTACAGAATAAAAACAGTGAATGAGCATAATTACTTCGTTATGGAACAAAATCCAATGGCTAAATATATATTATGGTATATATAAATTATATGAATGATTTCATGCATCAAATTATGTACAAATGGTGCTTTTTTTCTTGATTTATTCATATATACAATTGTTCTGACATTCTTGTAAAGCCACCAGCACGCACAGTGTTTCGGGCAAGTCCTTAATCCTAATTTTCTCTGGAATACGACCCGCCAAATCGTTTAACAACCAGATACCCATTCACTGCTGGGTGAACAGATGTTACAGTTAAGGATTGGCGCCCGGTCAATCTTTCCCGGCCAGTATACTACCCAGGCCAAAGCGCTCGCAAAGTGCTAGGCGAGTGTCTTACCACTGTGCCACAGAGACTTTCCTGATTGCAATAATAAAATAAAATATCAAGTATTATGAAATGGCCCTTTTCTGCAAGCCCTCAATGGCTAGTACCCGAGGGGCAAAACCAACACACTGGGCATCTGTGCCCATCACACTACCTACTGGGAGCAGGTTCTAGAATTCTGCCCATTTGGAGAGGCAGGGAAGGTGGAGTCCAATGACTCCAAATAATGAAATATCCCTTCTAAAATGACTTAAAAGGGTTATAAAGACTCAAAATGCTCATGTAAAAGAAATGCTTGGTATACACAAATATAAAACAAAAACTCAAAACTATCCAAAAATGACTATCACCTTACTGTTTCCTCCTCCCACCAACAAATAGCAGCACTCTTCTACAATTTGCTGTAACTATGCTGTAACTCCCATTACAGCATATGGGAGTTAGCACACACAAGAATGTCATATAAAAATCTAAACAAGTTGGCTTTCAAATGAACAAACTTACTGGATCCCGTAGCCTCTCCAAGGCACAAACCAGGATTTTACATAACTTTCCCCTGCACCCGAGCTATGTCAATAGGCCGTTCTCCCTCTTCGCCCTTACATCATTACACACAGAGATCACACTAACGTGATGCATCAAATGAGCAAATCCACAAGGGCCGTGACGAGGATTCGAACGGCCTACTGACATAGCTCGGGTGCATGGGGGGAGTTGTGTAAAATCCTGGTTTGTGCCTCGGAGAGGCTACGGGATCCAGTAAGTTCAGTAGAACTTCGGTTTCAACTCTTTTTAACCCTGTCGTAGCTCAGTCGATTAAGGCAGTGTCAGGGATGCTCCCGGACACAGGTTCGAATCCTCGTCACGGCCCTTGTGGATTTGTTCATTTGATTCATCACGTTAGTGTGATCTCTGTGTGTATTCGTTTTCAAAGTCCATGCACACTGCCTATGTGAGCCCATTACTTGAGTATGCAACACCAGCATGGAACCCACACGTTGTGAAGTATAAACAGAAGCTTAAGAAAGTTCAGAGGCTTACAACTAGATTAGTACCAGAATTACAAGACCTCAGTTATAAGGACAGGTTGAGGGAACTCACCCTCACAACCTTAGAGAAGAAATAGAGGGGATATGATCACTACATACAAGATCCTGATGGGGATATATAAAGTGGATAAACGAAGCCAATTTTAATTCAAAAGGTGGTACAAGGAGGATATCAGTGGAAGTTAGACATGTAATTAAGTCGAAGAGATCTAATGAACGTTCTCATTACCTGTACAAGTGGTCAGCTAGTGGAATGCATTAAAGGAAGAGGATGGTTGAAGTCAATTCCATCCACAACTTTTAGAAACAATATTATGTAAACATTATTGTTGAAAAAGGTAATTAGCATTTCAGGTATAAATGGCTAGAGGTGGGGCATAAAGGACTTAGATCTTACTCCCCCGTGTTCACTGATAAGTAACACGGTCGAGGGAGCCGGTCAGCTGAGTGGACAGCACGCTGGACTTGTGATCCTGTGGTCCCGGGTTCGATCCCGGGCGCCAATGGGCAGAGTTTCTTTCACCCTATGCCCCTGTTACCTAGCAGTAAAATAGGTACCTGAGTGTTAGTCAGCTGTCACGGGCTGCTTCCTGGGGGTGGAGGCCTGGTCGAGGACCGGGCCGCGGGGAGACTAAAGCCCCGAAATCATCTCAAGATAACCTCAAGTAAGGAGGAGTCTGTCGAGGCCTCCACCATCACACTTGAGCCTGATCCAACCACCTCAAGAACCCATGAGAAAGCAGGAAAACAGGCCAGTAAAATGAGGAAAAGAACGTGATGTCATTTTGAGATAGTTTTGAGGTTGTCTGATATATGTTTGCACCAATATACTGTATATGATATTGGTGCAAAATTTTTTTTTTTTTAATACTGATATTGGTTTTGAAGTTGTCTGATGCATATGTTTTGTACTGTATTTCTCTACAAGCATTTTCAGTTTTTCTGACCTGTGTCATTGTCTGGAATCTTTAAAATCCTGATGTGTTGGTCTTTTGAGTGCCCAAGCTCTGAAGAGCCAATGAGGGGGAGACACTAAAAACAAAAATTCATGTAAACAAAATGATAGAAGATATGGAATATCATAACTGTTGTTAGTACTATCTCTTTGAAATTGGCGGGGTCCAAATTGAACGAATCCATTCGACCAAAGTTCCACAGTAATAACCACGACAGCACCAAATGTTTACGTATGAAACGGCAACACTCGCCTCTCGATAATGTTGTAAACAAACATTTTTGGTGGCTAAAAATGACAATCAATTTTTTTAACAAATTCTGTACCATGAATTCCTTAATTATAGTATATTATTTGTGAAAAATATATACAATATAACTATTTTTTATTTAGTACACTTTATGTATATCGTAACCTAAAGTCATCAATATTTTGTACACAGCTTTAAATACAGTACAAACCAATTGTTATGGTTTACTAGTTTTTGGGCATAAAAATCATGTTTAGCATCCCTTTTACTTCAAAATGCTAAGACAAATTTACTGGAGGGGGGTGGGGGGGGGGGGAAGAGGACTGCACAAAAAATTAACTTAATTTTCTCTTTTTAGGTACCAACGATTGCTTGAGAAAGAATGGCACACGAGGCTTTTCCTTTTTAACTGGAGTGCCTGTTGCTAGTCCTATTGTCTCTCTCATTGCAGACAAAGCTTTGTACTTAGGGGAGAAAAGAAAGGAACACACTTGGGGTGTTTTGGGTTTAAAATGTGTCAAACTGCTTGCATATGCTTCACTGGTGGTAGCCACTGAATCTGAATCAAACAATTTAACATCTTCCGTCTTTATGTTATAATCAGGTACCGTTTCCGTGGGAGACATGAGAATAGAATGACGATCGGGTAATATGCTTGTTGGAGACAAATTTGCATCTTGGATTTTCTCACTGTTCTTATAATTTTTAAAATTGTCTTTGCTTGGTGAACCACTATTAAGTTCTTGAACACCCAAGTCTCTGTCTTCCACATTCTCTGAAACAATAGAAGCACTGCATATTTCCACTGGCATCACCGCTGAACTTACATTTCCGTGAGCCAATTCCGGGTTGCTGTTGATGCTCATAGTGTTAGACAACACCTTGTCTACAGGCAAATATACAAAATTATCATTAATTTTAACCCTCACCACGTTACATTCCCCAACATTTGGATGGGACGCATAAGTTACGGAACTAATAGGTGATGGTGTCGTTTGTATTCTCGAAGAACTTCTCAACGGTGTATATGTTAGCCCCTCTAAGCATCCAGGTGAAATTTCTAACCCAGGCTGGTGTGTTGGCTGGTCCTCAAGGAACCTAGTTGGCTGACCTTCTACGGGGTAAACAGGCACCCTCTGGTAAGTAAGCAAGCTCAGAGGGCTATTAGAATAGTTTACATTTACAGCCGGAACAGACGTGGTAGTAGTAACAGTAGCAGCCAGGGTTCTTGGAGTGACAGGTGACTGAAGTATACTTGTTGGTGAACTATGAGGTACTCCATGAAAATCTAAACCACTGGAACTATGACCCTGATCCGTTGAAACAACAAAATGTTGTGAAGAAACTGGGTTTGATGCAGACAAAGGATTGTTTATGTGCAATACTGCTGGTGTCGGAGATGAGTACACAGCAACTCGGGAATTAGAAAGAGCTACCTTTGAATTTTCTACTGAAGATTGACACATATGGATCTGTCTAGAATGGGGAGGGTATTGTACAATCATTCCTGGTGTGCTTATAGGTCCTACAGATGTACAGGGCAAAGGGTGTGGCTGCATTTCTTTTACAACAGCACTCTGAGGATAATTTTCCTGACCAAATGACTGTTGTGCAGAATCACTATGATTAAAAGTAAATGATGTACTCAGTGGTACCTGAGAAAGTGAAAAATCCTCTTGGAAATGTACTTTTCCAATCGATTCAGACATTTCATTTTCTTGGTCTGAATTTTGGTCCATTGACATGTCTGACAAATTCACGTCTGTAAAATTACCTTCACTCGTATTCACAAACTGGACTGAATTCTCCTCTTCAGATAAATCAATTGTATTATTTTGTAAAACCTTATGACACATTGCATCCTTTATTTCTTTAGTCATCGTTCTCCGAGAATTAGGAGAGTTATCGTCAGAGACTTTAGAAATTTGATCTTCTATGATACAAACTTGATCAACAGCTCTCTTACAAGGATGCTGCTTTCTTGGAGATGATGGTGATCCCTTTATCAACATTTTGTTTAATTTTACAGGACTTTCCATCTCTCTTTCTTGGTTATATTTATCATCTTTAATTTCAACATCTATCCCTGGAATAGGAGCATCTACATGTATTATTACTGATTCAACAGAGTCAGGATAGCACTCTTCTCTGGTCTCATTTTCAGGTAGAGGAGACATTAATTTGTTGTCACCATAAATGAAGTCTGGGGACTCTGCCCTTGCGTCTTCAGAAAAATTAGAATGTCGTATCTGATAATCATTCACTTCACAAGTTACTTTAACACATGGAGTAGTTTGTACTTTCTCTTGCTCAGCAGTAGGTTTTTTACTCTTAGGAGTTCCTGGTAAATAAGGAGTTGAAGGGAAGTAATGGGTCACACCACCAACCTTTATGGGTACCATTGTTATCTTGGCTTTTTTACCGGCCTTTGGAATCCAAGCTCTTTTTGCTGCTTGTTTTGGTGGAACTGAAATAACTTGTTCTTGTACATTACTGTTGATTGGTGCATTCACTTTCTTGGTATACTTTGATGGAGATGTATACCTTAAGTGTTCATTCTGAGAAGACAAACCTTGAGAAAGCTTGTTCTCCCCACTCTCGCCTTCAGCGACACAACCAGAAACATGGCTTTTTATATCAGCTTGGCTACTGTCATCGCTAAGAGTTAAAAACTTGAGTAATTTCTTCTTCAAGGATTTCATCTTACGTTCATCTTTTTTTATCGATTCCCAAACAGTCTTTTTTATTTTATATTTCATCTTTCTGAGAATATTGGTTCCAGTCTTATTAAAATGTACATCTAAAACTAGAAAACTCTCATCTAGACTTACAGACTCATAAATCTGCATCATACCTGACTGTATTGCATCTGCACAGTCGGTCATTGTTTGAGCCTCACACAAGTTAGTGACTTTAAGGTGTTCATCAACATGGCAATTGGGCTTCACCTGCAAAATAAGCTTAGTCTGTTCGGAGGGCAGGTCTATGATAGGTGCATCTACCTGAATGCTGTTTGAAGCATTAATGGCAGGTAAATCATGCTCTGATGAACCTACCTCTAACAATTCCTGTAATGCTTTGGCTTTTCCTTTTTTATTTCCAAAGAGAAGGGCCAATTTTTCTTTTATTGGAACATTTCGTTTAGAATTGTTTAATGCCTTGTAAAGAGCAGTTTTCCTTGGCCGTCCTCGTCTACGCTTAGGACGCGGTGTTACTTTAGGTACAGTATTAAACCATTCCTCCTCAATGTTTTCAACAGTATTTGAAGGAGGGCTCGTTTCATTTTTCATGAGAGTTTGCACTTCATTTTCCTCTGAAAGGCCATCAACAGCAAGTTCATTGTCTGCCTTTAGTTCATTATCTCCCTCTAGTTCCTCATCAGCCACAACTTCTTCATCAGCTGCCAGTTCATTATCTGCATCATCATCACTTCTTAAGTGATCTAAATCCTCTGTACTGCCAGTAGTATCATGAGCTGGTTCTTCAGTCTCTTCTCTAGGCTTCAATGGCATACTAAGGATGCTGGGAGAGGGTGGACTCATGAAGTCCCTCACTTCCTTCTCCATTAACGACTCCAGAGTTTTATAAACCTTACGTTTACCGGGACCGGATAAATCATTTATCTTGACAACTTCATTGTCTTGCTCTTCATCACGAGGTCTGCTAAGCCTTCTCTTTATTAAAACTCTTCTTCCCATCTTTCCTTTAAATACAAAGTTACTCACTATTCCTCTCTTGTGTAGATATTCTTGACTGGTATCTGCAGTCAAAGCTTTTGCCCGAACATGAGCTCTCCTGGCACCTGGAAAGAAGATAAACCTTAGAGAAACAGGAGAGTAAATGGATGTCTTCGTTAAGTCAAATATCGCCAGCTGGAGTCTTCATTTTAGAATAAATATCTATATCTAATGCAGATGATGAGTCACAATAACGTGGCTGAGGAAATGATGACCAAACTACAACTTTGAAGATGGAGAAGAGACGATGTTTGGGTCCGTTCTGGACTATTATCATGATAATGGTCCAGGATGGACCAAACAGTTGTCGCTTCTCCATCTTCTGAGCTGTGGTTTGGTGGTGGTGGTGGTCATCATCATCATCACCATCATAATATAATATATATATATATATATATATATATACATATATATATATATATATATATATAATTTATTTATTTATTTATTACACACACACACACTTCAGAATTGCTTTTAAATACATGGATGGCGATATACTAAAGAAATTGTTCACGACTTTTGTTAGGCCAAAGCTAGAATATGCAGCGGTTGTGTGGTGCCCATATCTTAAGAAGCATATCAACAAACTGGAAAAGGTGCAAAGACATGCTACTAAGTGGCTCCCAGAACTGAAGGGCAAGAGCTACGAGGAGAGGTTAGAGGCATTAAATATGCCAAAACTAGATGACAGAAGAAAAAGAGGTGATATGATCACTACATACAAAATAGTAACAGGAATTGATAAAATCGATAGGGAAGATTTCCTGAGACCTGGAACTTTAAGAACAAGAGGTCATAGATTTAAACTAGCTAAACACAGATGCCGAAGATATATAAGAAAATTCACTTTCGCAAACAGAGTGGTAGACAGTTGGAACAAGTTAGGGGAGAAGGTGGTGGAGGCCAAGGCCGTCAGTAGTTTCAAAGCGTTATATGACCAAGAGTGCTGGGAAGACGGGACATCACGAGCGTAGCTCTCATCCTGTAACTACACTTAGGTAATTACACACACACACAGTGGAACCTCGAATGACGAGTGCCTCAATCTACAAGCATTTCGAATAACGAGCTCGCCACTCTGCGAAAATTTGTCTCGATTGATGAGATTTCGCTTGATTAACCCTCAAACTGCTAGGGGCCCAAATGGAATTCACACCCACAGGCGCAAAAAAAAAAAAAAAAAAAAAAAAAAAAAAAATCCCAAAAATTCTTTCGTCTTATAGAAGTGTTAATTTTTGTTCCCTGATCACAGAAAAAAAAAAAAAAAAAAACGTAGGTGGCATATTTTAGCCGCAATAGGGTAGGGAAGTGTGGCAAAAAAGGGGCATTGACAGAGCCTTCGCCAGACGAGGTCTACTCCGCCCGAGCTGTCAGATGGCAGTTGCCACAAATATATTATTACCTAATTATTTCAATGTCTCTGATTGATTTTTTCTTAGTTTTTTTGCAGTAATATTATTCCATACAGTGAATTGTGGTATATTTATATAATAAAATGTGTGAACCATCGCTGTACTCAAAAGTATGATGTGCATATTAGTGATTCAATTATTATGTTCATAAAACAATAAACAAATAGTTTTGCTGTTGTTACACTATATGCACAGGTTATATATAAGTATCTGCATGTTTTGCTCACCATAACAAACTACTAAGTTGGTCTTGTGAGTCAAAAAGCAACGAGGAGTGACCGCCACACACCAGCGAGCCACTTACTGCCACTCCCTCCCTCACCCTCATTCTCCTCCCACAATACTGTTTTTGCATTTATTCACTATACACAGACGTTATATACACGTATTTACATGTTTTGTTCACCATAACTGTACATCTAAGCTTGTATGGTGAGTAAAGGCACAAAGATGTAGCTACTCACACAGTCAGCTGATCGGCAGCCGCCCTCAAGGCCAGACACACTAATATTTCTCCTCCAACAATATTGTTTGTGGTGTTATTACGCTATATACGACCCAACTATATAGTGACCCAACAGGCAGCATGACGGAGGTAAAAGTGGCGACTGTCACCCGGAGACAAGGGCACAACAACCAACAATCCCGTACAAGACGGGTTGGAACCCGGAAGACACATTCAATGGTCCCCCGAGCCCAGACAGGGGTTTCCCGGGCCCGTAGACTGACTGCTACGGGAAGCCCGGGCAAGGTGTTGCTAAACCGGTAGGGGATAGCACTGAAAACCCCTGAGACGTGTACAATCACGGGAGCCTAGCAGAGGGCCGCCAAACACTACCAGTGCAACTATAGCCACACTGGGCAGACCCCCACCAGGCAATTGAAAATAAAAACAAAAGAAAACCCCCGCAAAAGTACACCGTCTCCAGAGGCAACAGGAACCGGTTGCCGCTTAGGTGGCAGGCTGTGCAACACCTTGACGCCCTAACCAGTACAATACCAATCCCTACCCAGGGCCAAACAAGGGCCCCGGGTTCCAAGCCCCAGCTGGCCCCAAGGGCAAGGCAAATGCCGAGCAGCAAGAACCTCTACGGGAATGGTTCCCGAACGCCCCAGGGAAGATAACCCTGTTACGCAAGGGCAGTACTCACAGGGCACTTAGGGAAGTCAGCCGCTAAGCGCATGCAGCCCCGGCACTGATGAGGTACTCCTGGCCACCGCACAACACAACACACGGCAGTGAACGCCACACAAGGCAAACACCGCCTAGGAAACTGAGGCCAGAGAAGCGTCTATCCCGGTTGACATTACCTTACGAACTGAAGCTTGGCAGCCGGCGCGGTTGGTCCGGGGCTCCCCCCTCCCCCTCTCGGGGTGGGGAGGGCTGCGCGGACGATCGGCGCGGCAGTAAAGTGTGATGTTACGTCACCGCGCCGCTGTTTGCGCAGCTCCCCTCTCCCCGGGAGGGGGAAGGGAGAGCCCCAGACCTCTCATACCGGTGATCCACCCATCAGTTCTGAGGCTGGATGTCAAAACATGCAAAAAAACTGCCGACCAGGAGGGAGGGAGGGAGGGAGGGTTGCCAGGGAGCCTCCGGGTCTCACCTAGAAAATGGCGTTTCATTACATTCAACGCTGGCTTTCTGGGGGGGAGCCCCGTAGGCTCCCCGGAGCTAACTCCCCATGGAGGAAGAATAGGGACGAACCCGGGTGGCGGTCGCTGCTCACTCCTCGACCCGAAGTTGAGACAACTGGCTGCATCCACCGACCAAAGCGACAATAGGCCCAACCGGGCCCAGGGACGTGAACAAGATAACGAGCAGCCAGGACCCTGTTCGACCGCCAAAATCCCCACACCCGAAAGTCCACCCAAAACATAGTCCTAAAGAACGGCAGCAAGAGCCGCAAACTTGCGAACGTCATGGCACGGGAAGAGACCACATGCTGGCCAGCCTTAATAACCCTGCGGACGACCTGGGAGATCCGCACTTGCAAATAGGGAAGAAAGGAAGCCGGATCAACCCAAAGCGCGTCCACGGACACAGAAGCCGTGGCGCGCCAATAACGGCGGAGAGCCGCAACTGGGCACGAAACATGATGCACCCCCGCAAAAAACGAGAAGGCTGCAGAGGAACAAAACGTTCGCTCCACCCAAGTGAGCAGAAACCCCAGCGCCGGAGGGGAGCAAGAAGCTCACCAACCCGACCCACAGAGGCTAATGCCAACTGGAAAAGAGCCCCCGAGAAACAAACCGGAACCGAAGGGGCTACAAGAAACCGAGGAGAAGAAAAGAGCACCCAGTCCAACAACCAAGACGGCTCAGACGGCGCATGAGCAGGCCGGAGGTGAACCGCACTAGACAGCTTGCGGAACGGCGCACAAGTAACATCAACACCGAACGCAAGCGGAAGCGGCTCCGCCAGCGCCGTACGAAACGAGACAACAGTATGCGGCAAAATGATGGCCCCAAACTCACACAAGAGAAGGACAAGACCACGCCAACAAAACACAGCTACCTAAGAAGGGACAAAAAGGAAAAAAGGAAGGACCGCCAAAATACTCCACACTGCCGCCAAGAAGAAGCACACAAGTGGGGCCCCATCAACAAAGCCACCTTACCACCAACAGAAGGCGGGACCCCAGGTAGAGCCGAACCAGCCCTGCCATGGACCAAACGAGGTGTAGAAGAGGCGGAGCTGCGGGAAGATCTTGGGTGCGACCACCAAACAGGCAGTGCTGGAAGCCCGAACCGGCAAAGGAAGAGACGGAACGTCTGCCAGACAGAAAAAATAACTCAACGCCAGCGAGCACAATAGGAGGCCGGAGACCACGGCCCAGACTGAGACACGAAAGAAGGGACACCGCAAAACGCGGAAAAAGCCAACAGGCAGGGAAAGCCAGGAACCAGAATCCAAACCTGAAAAAGGAGGCCAAAAGGCAGGCAGCAAACGGGAACGTAAGGCACGCCAACAACACACAGTCGTTGGTCAGGTTACAGGTCAGGTCACACAAGACCAACCCGAAAAAAGTACAAGGGACGCCACCAGACCAGCACCCGAACCGAGAGGTATGAGTAAAGAGGAGACAACTGGAATGAAACCACACGACAACGGGAGACAGAAGAACCAGTGGGGGGACAACACCACCACAAGCAAGACCCACAGAGGAAATGAGAGTGTAGACAAAGCAAGAAACGCAAGGGGCACACGTATCAGGGGACACTGGCAGAACAGATGCCCAATGAGCAAAAGAAATGACAGAAGGATCCCAGCGTCAAAGTAGGAGACAAATGGAATGAATGAGGAAGGGAAGGTGGTGGAGACAGACCCCACACACAGAGTCAAGTGCAAATACAACAGAGATAGGATAGAGCCCAGCAGGCTCAGGAAGCTGGACCCAAGCCGAACGACATGAGACACCAAAAACCCAGAGCGCAACCCCCGCAAACACAACGAGGGAAGCACGACAAGCACAGAGGCCCTGTAAATGGCAGGTGAGTGACAGAGGGGCAGGACTAAAGAGCCAAAACTCAATCCCAGCAAGCACACCTAGTTGAATGACTGAAGAATGGACTGGAGCTAGAGGCAAAGCACCTGAGAGAAAGAGACGGAAAACACCAGCACTCAGACCTTGTGTACACCACCCAGACCAAAACAAACTCCCACGGTGCACAACCCGCGTGGCGGGAAGATGCCAACTAGGACTACTTGACAAGAAAAGTAGCCCAAACAGTTCGTGACTCGAGGGATGCGCGCAGGAGCAGAAACAGCCCAGCGCATGAGAACAGGAGCCAAAAGCAGAAAGCAGCGACATACATAGCCGGCGTATGTAATGAAGACAAGGAACCAACCGGCAACCCAATTGGGCTACATGTAGCTCAAACCGACAACCCGGACAAGTAGTATGGAAAGAAAACGAACAGTGCAGAGACCGAGCATGGAGAAAAGATACAAGAACAAAAGAACGAGACAGGGCCGAAAACCATGAATAGGCCCGGAAGAGGACCAACAAGTTGGGAGTGTTGGGAGAGTCGGGAGGGACTGTTTGGAGAATGTGGAGAGAATGAGAGACTATGATCTGTATTATATACAATAACCAAGAATTATGTTAAAACAATTCATTACAGTAAAAACTAAAGAAATATTGTCAAATATTATAACAAATACATATTTCTTAAAAACTATGTATACAGGCTGAAACTGTAGTTTCCTTCTAAAATGTAGAGATTTTTTTTCAACCCAGTGGCCTACATAACGTGCCTGCCTGCCCCAAGTGGACTCATCCAGGCCTGGTCAAGCTGAACAGTCCACGTGCTCTAGACCCCTCGTGTTATACCACAGTGCTGTATCATTAGTGAAACAATTTCTTAACACTTTCGCGCTTTGGGCCCGCGAGCGCCGCACTACCCCAGGTGGGGATTGGCGTGCCTCGGGAGGGCGAGGGAGACTGCGGTAATTCTGAAAAGTGTATACTCTTTTCAACTTTGTCACCTTAATTCTTGTCCTAAGATATTAAATTTGGTATCAATGTGTTCGCAATAGAATTATCTAGAGGCGTAAATGCATATAAACTCCAAAAGGTTGGCTTACCACCCGCAGCAAACAGAGAAAGTGAGAGCGAGTTACCCGGGAGCGCGTAAGAGCAATAAAATGTGTACATTCTTTTCACTTTGGTCACCTCAATTCTGGTCCTAGGTCTTTCATTTTGGTATCAATGTGTTTGTAATAGAATTCCCAACAGGAGTATATGCATATAATGTCAAAAACCGTAGAGTGCTCCACCTGCCGACGTGATGAATGCAGGCCGCGGTTACCCAGAAGAGAGCTCCAGGCCTTCCATTAGAGCGCTGAAACTGTAGTTTCCTTCTAAAATGTAGATACTTTTTTCTGCCCAGTGGCCTACATACTGTGTCTGCCTGCCACAAGTAGACTCATCCAGGCCTGGTCAAGCTAAACATTCCACGTGCCCTAGACCCCTCGCGTTATACCACAGTGTTGTACCATTAGTAAAACAATTTCTTAAGTAACTTTTGTTTTCAAAGGAACTTTGATAATTTTTTGCCAAGACTACAGTATGTCTGGTAGCAGCAGCAGCAGTCATCCTGGAGGTGTTAAGAGGAAGAAGGTTGTGGTAACAACACCACAGACAACCAAATACAGTTTACTGACAGGGCAAATCTCATCAAAACTTAAAATATTGAGCAATTTGGAGGATACTGATCCAGACAACTTCTTTAAAAGGTCAGATGTGACACAAACACATGGAGCAACAGTTTCAAGCTCAACAAGCCACAATGTAGGAGAGAAAATAGGAAATGCCTTTTTACTCATGGGGTTATAGACCCATGGAACGGCTTACTCGCCGAAGCCACAAATGCCAAAAACACTGCTGAATTGTAAAATCCACCATGATAAAATCACCAGGGCAAATGGGGGGATCTTTGACAAGGCACTAGCTTTCTGTTCTCTTTGAAGCCACTAGAGAGATAATGGCCCTCAGGTAAAATCAAGTATATTCAGAACTGTGACTGATGTGGAGCTGACTTTTAACATGGAGCAATCTCAGCATGATAGCTTCAGGGAGCCATTGGAGGGACTTCCCCAGAAATAGGGACCATCCTTGTATCATAATAGTGTACATGTGTTGAAAGTTTTAAGATAGTATACAAAGGTGTTCTCCAGATACAACAAGGAGATTGTTTGATGGTGGGATGGGGCAAATATGGTCAAAGGAGTAACAAGAAAACATAGAAGGTATTCTTATCAGCAATACTGAATGACAAAATCATATAACATCCTTAAAGATCTTACCTATGTCTGACAGAACATTAGAAGTTTTGCCTTCTACAGAGGATGAACTTGGTAATTCTTTAAGGCCCAGTTCAATGAGTGTCTCTTCCTTCAGCTTCTTCAGAGTACTATCAACTTCTGCTGGAAGTGAAAATTGAACAAGACGGACAGCTTTTTCTGGCTCTTTACCATCACCTGTGAATTTATGCATGACAATTAGAATATGATGTGAGTACAAAGTAAAGCTTTAAAAGATAACTACATTATTAGCAAAACATTCAAAATTAAATAAAACAGAGAGTTCAAATTTAAGCAGTAGTGGTTATTGCAGTCAGTTCAAAACCATCTGGGCTCTGAGCTTGACTCGTGGTCAGGGTAAAACATCAAGGCCTGAGTCCTTACACTAGGTGTCTCTGACGACCAAACCACACCATTATCAATTCATGTGTGTGTCTGTTGTCTCTGTTCACAAAATAGTAAACTATGAGGAGTTTAACTTGAGGGGTCTGACGGCTGAGTGATCAGCGTTCGGGATTCGTTGTCCCGGGTTCGATCTCCGGCAGAGGCGGAAACAAATGTGTAACAAAAAAAGACTGGTCGAGGATCGGGCCGCGGGGAGCACTAAGCCCCGAAATCATCTCAAGATACTGTAACTTCAAGAACCCAGGTTGTCCTAGGATAGCGTGCATCTCCCATCACCCCCAATTCTGCCCACCTGTCCCCCTTTACCTGCCCCTTCCCCTCTCTCTCTTTTTCCCCCCTCTCCCTTCCTATCTCCCCACCCCTTCTTCCTCATCTCTATTAACTACCCCCTCTGGCCTACAACCTTAAATAGACAGGCAGGCAATTCCACTTATATATTTATAAATAAAAGGGGTACCTGGCTGAACCTGGGTATCTTCCCCCCTCTTCCCACCCTTTTGCCTCCTCTTGTCATCCCATCTTTCTTTTCCACCTTATGTTGTCCCTCCCATCTTTCCCATCTCTCAGAAAATGTACTATTATTAAGCACTGAAAAACTATAAAATTGTCCCCTATATTTCACACTTTCAGTCGATGAAGATTGCATCTGGGTCTCTATAAAAGCTAATATTTCCTGTAGAATTTAACTTAGGCCCACCTTAACCAGCCTATGTCTGTCCCGTATCCCAGAACATTTTCCCTGCAATGTTGGGAGACACTAGCCTCGGACATCTGGCCTCCAACCTTGAACAGACAAACAAACAAACAAACAGACTACTGTATCTCTCATACAGATAGGTGCCTTGGGGCTAGTCAACTGCTGTAGGTTGCAACCTGGAAAAGATCAAGGAAACCTTGATAACCTTAACAGTCTTACTGCTCCAGACAATGGCAAACTTCTTCCACTGCAAAACTAACACCAACATTTTACACACTTAGAATTTATTCGGTTGTTTTCTAAGCCACAAGTGCACTATTTTTGTAACATCATCAAAACAGTCCAAGTGCTTTCCACTTAATGACTCCAAGTGACCCAAAAATATGATAAGATGCCTAGAGTCAAGACAGCGAAAATAGAGAATGGAGTGTAATGATATGCCACTTTCTGGGAGGCAGTTAGTAGCTCCAACACTTATTTTCTTCCCTAATAAGTTTAAGGAATTCACTGACTATGGATTTTCTACAGAAATGACAAGTGTTCTGGAGAGAAGATAAAGCAAGTACATTAGAGCATTAGCTGCATGTGCATGGTTTCCACACTAAACCTGATAATAAAAAACCAGCGTTGAATGTAATGAAACGCCATTTTCTGGGTGATCCCCGGAGGCTCCCTGGAGCTTATCGGGTATGTTATATTAGATCGGGACACTAGCTAAGGGGTTCAGACCTACCAGGGACCAGTGCCAGAACCTGGCCCCTTCAGAGAGGTTTCAAGGAGCAATGGCACTGGAAAACCCTCTTGTGGTTGGGGTTTTCCTTATCTGCCATCGACCGGGGTTAGGCACCCAGAAAGGTAGGCATAACAAAACAAACCCCACATGGTAAAAAACTAAAACAAAAAAACGAACAGAGAGGTAGAAACTCCTTACAATCCCAAGGAAACAAGCAAACAAAAAAACATCACACTTTACTGCCGCGCCGATCGTCCGCGCAACCCTCCCCGCCCCGAGAGGGGGAGGGGGTAGCCCTGGACCTACCGCGCTGGCTGCCAAGCTTCAGTTCGGAAGCTAAGTTTCAACCAACGCGAAAAAAACGCCGACCGGTGGGAGGGAGGGTTGCCAGGGAGCCTCCGGGGCTCACCCAGAAAATGGTGTTTCATTACATTCAACACTGGTTTTCTGTGGGGAGCCCCTACGGCTCCCTGGAGCTTCATACCCAAAGAGAAGGAAAAGAAAGGGCTGACCCGGGAGGCGGCCGCCACAAACTCCGCAACGCGAAGTCGAGACAACAGGCAGCAACCTGCAACCCAAAGCAACGCTCGCACGCCCAGGCAGACATGTAAACAAAAGCACGGCCGGCCAGGAACCTGTACGACCGGGAAATCCGGCGCCTGAAATGAGCCCAAGTCACCAACAAACAGGGCTGTGAAAACTGCTAAAGATACGAACGGCATGCCAGCAAATAGTGGGAAGCAAGCAGACTTATCCGCTGCGAAACCTGGGAACTCCATGCCCAAAAGCAGAAAACCCAGGCAGGGGCAAACCGCCCACAGAACTGCTAGCAGGCAACCCCAACACAGCCACCCCCAGGAACCAGCAACAGAGACCCCGGGGCAGAGCCGTCCTCCAAGCCCTCTCGGCCTTAAAGAAAAGGAAGAGTCCATGGGAAAGGCAGCAAGAAAGGGCTGCTGGTAAGACCCAGAAGCCTTGGCAGGAGGAACAGGCTTGAAAACCTCCGTCCCCCAACCCAAACGGGGCAGCCCCCGAAAACCGCCCGAGTCTCGAAACCAACTAAACACCGCCCCGACCTCGAAACCTGCAGACGGTCCGGAGCCGGAAACAGGGAGGAAAAGGGGCGAACAGCACCTAACCAAAATGGGGCGGCCTCGGGGCATCCAAGTGGGAAACCAACCTAGCATGTTGCAGCAACCTAACCTAGCTTGCAACACGGATGCTGCCTGTACTCTGAACAGTAATAACATCAGGAGAGTACTGGAGATCAAGCAGAGAATTACTCTCGCAAGACTCAGGGTCAAGGTGTCAGTGACCCAACAGGCAGCATGACGGAGGTAAAAGTGGCGACTGTCACCCGGAGACAAGGGCACAACAACCAACAAACCCGTACAAGACGGGTTGGAACCCGGAAGACACATTCAATGGTCCCCCGAGCCCAGACAGGGGTTTCCAGGGCCCGTAGGCTGACTGCTACGGGAAGCCCGGGCAAGGTGTTGCTAACCGGTTAAGAAACTCAAAAATAAATAGAGGGCAGAGGATAGCACTGAAAACCCCTGCGACGTGTACAATCACAGGAGCCTAGCAGAGGGCCGCCAAACACTACCAGTGGAACTATAGCCACACTAGGCAGACCCCCACCAGGCATGAAAATAAAAACAAAAGAAAAATCCCGTAAAAGTACACCGTCTCCAAGTGGCAACAGGAACCGGTCGCCGCTTAGGTGGCAGGCTGCGCAACACCTTGACGCCCTAACCAGCACAATACCAGTCCCTACCCAAGGCCAAACAAGGGCCCCCAGCCCCAGCTGGCCCCAAGGGCGAGGCAAATGCCGAGCAGCAAGAACCTCTACGGGAATGGTTCCCGAACGCCCCAGGGAAGATAACCCTGTCATGCAGGGGGGAAGGAAGTACTCACAGGGCGCTTAGGGAAGGAAATCCCTAAGCACATGCAGCCCCGGCACTGATGAGGAACACCTGGCCACCGCACAACACAAAACACAGCAGTGAACGCCACACAAGGCAAACACTGCCTAGGAAACCGAGGCCAGAGAAGCATCTGTCCCGGTTGACATTAGCTTACGAACTGGTGCTAAGCAGCCGGCGCGGTGAGGTCCGGGGGACCTCCTCCCCTCTCGGGGCGGGGAGGGCTGCGCGGACGATAGCGCAGCAGTAAAGTGTGTTGTTTGCTTGTTTCCTTGGGATTGTAGGGAGTTTCTACATCTCTGTTCGTTTTTTTGTTTTAGTTTCTTACCATGTGGGGTTTGTTTTGTTATGCCTACCTTTCTGGGTGCCTAACCCCGGTCGATGGCAGATAAGGAAAACCCCAACCACAAGAGGGTTTTTCCAGGGCCATTGCTCCCTGAAACCTCTCTGAAGGGGCCAGGTTCTGGCACTGGTCCCTGGTAGGTCTGAACTCCTTAGCTAATGTCCCGGTCTAATATAACATACATTAGCCCGATAAGCTCCAGGGAGGCGTAGGGGCTCCCCACAGAAACTACCACTTACCTCAAGGTAAACAAGGGAGGAAACCCCCAACACACTCGGGGTCAATCACCGAGTAGCAAAAGACCAACAGAGGTAGACCCCAAGGTGACTTGTGGTAGATAACCCCGAGCCCCAAGGGTGGTACTTACAAAGCACTCAAGGAAGGGAACCCTAAGCACTTGCAGCCCGAGTACCTGTGAATATTACTCTCAGCTCGCATGTTACCGTAAGAGCAGTACTGGACACAAGGCACAGCACAACAAAGAGAATCTGGAGCTGGAACCACATGACCGTGCCACAATCACATAAGTCGAGAACTGGAGGGTGGACCACTGGCACAGTGGGTCTGGGGCTTCCCCTTCTCCCTCCAGGGAAGGGGGAGCTGTGCAGACATGCGGCACGGCTCGTGTGACATCATGCTCATTTGCTCGTTTTCATTTGGGGAGTTCTGTCCACTCGTTTGTCTATTTTAGTCGTTTTAACCAAAACAGGGGTTTGTTTTGAGGTGCTTACCTTTCTGGGTGATGGCAGATATAGAATGCTCCAAATCACATGTGCATTTCTATAGGCCATTGGTCTTGTGCCTCTCTAAGGGAGCCAAGTTCTGGCTCGTGGTCTCCGGAAGGCCTAGAACTCCATTCACGCCGACTGATGCCAACTTCTAATGATATACATATCAGCCTGGATAGCTCGGGGAGAGCCGAAGGGGCTTTCCCCAGAAAAATATATAAAGTTTTCTTTTGCAAACAGATTGAAACAATCAGTTAAAACAAGTTAAGTGAGAAGGTGGTGGAGGCCAAAACTGTCAAAAGTTTCAAAGAATTATATGACAGAGTACTGGGAAGAAGGGATACCACGAGCATAGCTCTCATCTTGTAACTACACTTGGGTAATTACTTAATCAGTAAGATAGCGTTATGGAACCGAGGAGGTTCCCACAGAAAAATGGGTGAAACACACAGTGTACTTGTAAATGAATTATAAAGACATCAGTCTACTGGCACATAGTGGGCAAAATCTATGTCAGGAAAATACATCATCAGAGTAACATACCCATAGCAACAGCTTTAACTTTCATATACTGTTCTAGGAGGTGTCTTTGAATGTTCCGAGCCTGAAGAGGAAGCGAGTTGGACACCGGAGATGCATTCGCAAGCCGCTGAGACTCGTACTTTACATCAACTGCATCACGGTCTGTGGAGGCAAAGTCCAGACACATCTGCAAAATATAAAACATGATGAGCTATGAGCTGTTCAATAAAGAAGTGAGTGAGAGACACCTGCTTGATACCTGCTTGATGGGGTTCTGGGAGTTCTTCTACTCCCCAAGTCCGGCCCAAGACCAGGCTTGACCTGTGAGAGCTTGGTCCACCAGGCTGTTGCTTGCAGCAGAATGCAGGGCCCACATATTCACCACAGCCAGGAAAAGGTTTCAAACACTGCTAGTTAAAAGTGAACTAAGCAAAAGTAAGCAGAAAATGAATGGGACAGGAGAATGTAAAGGAACAACATCCCTCGTGTTGATCCCGAGGGTTAAGGTCCCTGCGGCCCGGACTCTGACCAGGCCTCCTAAACAGTATACTAATAAAACAGCAGAATGTGTATAGAAGAAAATACAAAGCCAACAGAAAATAAAAGGACAATAAAATGCAATTACTGTACATAATACACAATAAATAGATTTTTTAAACTGATAAATTTTCTCAGTCCTGGTTTGTTCAGAACTCAGCCATTGTCACTCTCATCTAGAGTTTACAACCACACGTGCAGCTCCCTGACACTGTACAGTGACATGTACAGTGTTTGTGGACACTTGAGGCTGCACTTCATCACCATATTACCTGTGTATGAGGGCACTCCATACGCTAACCCCAGGACTTATCTTTACATAATTGTTTGTGACTTTTGTATTTCATTCACAGGTTGCCCTCACCTATCAGTGCACTGTAACTTACAGTGCAAAATAAATAAATAAAATATATATATATATAAATATATATATATATATATATATATATATTGCTACCTTGGAAGGATGGTAAGCAAGTGGTATGGGACTACACGTGCGCTGCCACACTGGCCAGTACCTACCTCCACTACAGCACACGTGAAAGCGGTGGTGCTGCTTCTTTCAGGGAATCGCAGAAAATTATTAAATACAGAGGCCTAGCACACTGCTACAGCTTTGTTCCGATCGGCTCGGAGACCCTCGGTTCGTGGGGAAAATGTGCATTGAAGTTCCTGAAGGAATTGGGGGACAAATTGATCAGCGCTACAAAAGACCAGAGAGCAAAAAGTTTCTTGTTCCAGCGCCTCAGTGTTGCGATTCAGAGGGGAAATGCCTGTTGCGTCTTGGGCACTAGTCCAACTTCAGAGGAATTCGAAGAAGTGTTTGACTTGCAACAATGATCGAACCCGTCTGTGACATTCATCAATGTTTCCCATTGTTGTGTTCTTCAAGAGATCCATAACCTTTAAGCACCTTTTTGCATTATTATTTTTGTATCAACCCATGTATATCTTGTAACCATCAAATGTATATATATATATATATATATATATATATATATATATATATATATATATATATATAATGTCGTACCTAGTAGCCAGAACGCACTTCTCAGCCTACTATGCAAGGCCCGATTTGCCTAATAAGCCAAGTTTTCCTGAATTAATATATTTTTCGAATTTTTTTCTTAAAATGATAAAGCTACCCATTTCAATGTATGAGGCCAATTTAACTGGAGTTAAAATTAACGGCTAACCTAACCAACCCTACCTAACCTAACCTAACCTATCTTTATAGGTTAGGTTAGGTTAGGTAGCCGGTTAGGCTAGGTTCGGTCAGGTAGGTATATCTACGTTAATTTTAAAACTTGGCCAATTAAAAAAATTTACCTCATACATAGAAATGGGAAGTGCTTTATCATTTCATAAGAAAAAGATTAGAGAAAATATATAATTCAGAAAAACTTGGCTTATTAGGCAAATCGAGCCTTGCATAGTAGGCTGAGAAGTGCGTTCTGGCTACTAGGTACGACATATATATATATATATATATATTATATATATATATATATATATATATATATATATATATATATTGTCGTACCTAGTAGCCAGAACTCACTTCTCAGCCTACTATGCAAGGCCCGATTTGCCTAATAAGCCAAGTTTTCATGAATTAATGTTTTTTCGTCTACCTAACCTACCTAACCTAACCTAACCTAGCTTTTTTTGGCTACCTAACCTAACCTTACCTATATATATAGGTTAGGTTAGGTTAGGTAGGGTTGGTTAGGTTCGGCCATATATCTACGTTAATTTTAACTTCAATAAAAAAAAATTGACCTCATACATAGTGAAAAGGGTAGCTTTATCATTTCATAAGAAAAAAATTATAGTAAATATATTAATTCAGGAAAACTTGGCTTATTAGGCAAATCGGGCCTTGAATAGTAGGCTGAGAAGTGAGTTCTGGCTACTAGGTACGACATATATATATATATATATATATATATATATATATATATATATATATGTCGTACCTAGTAGCCAGAACGCACTTCTCAGCCTACTATGCAAGGCTCGATTTGCCTAATAAGCCAAGTTTTTCTGAATTAATATATTTTCTCTAATCTTTTTCTTATGAAATGATAAAGCAACCCATTTCATTATGTATGAGGTAAATTTTTTTTATTGGAGTTAAAATTAACGTAGATATATGACCGAACCTAACCAACCCTACCTAACCTAACCTAACCTATCTTTATAGGTTAGGTTAGGTTAGGTAACCGAAAAAGTTAGGTTTGGTTAGGTTAGGTAGGTAAGGTAGTCGAAAAACAATTAATTCATGAAAACTTGGCTTATTAGGCAAATCAGGCCTTGCATAGTAGGCTGAGAAGTGCGTTCTGGCTATTAGGTACGACATATATATATATATAAATATATTGTCCGGTCGTGATGGTCAAGTGGATTAAGGCGTCTTGTACATACCAGTTGCGTTGCTTCTGGGAGTATGGGTTCGAGTCACTTCTGGGGTGTGAGTTTTCAGTTATATATATATATATATATATATATATATATATATATATATATATATATATATATATATATATATATATATATATATATATATATATATATATATATATATATATATATATATATATATATATATATATATATATATATATATATATATATATATATATATATATATATATATATATATATATATATATATATATATATATATATATATTATATATATATATATATATATATATATATATATATATATATATATATATATATATATATATATATATATATATATATATATATATATATATATATATAATATATATATATATATATATATATATATATATATATATATGTCGTACTTAGTAGCCAGAACGCACTTCTCAGCCTACTATGCAAGGCCAGATTTGCCTAATAAGCCAAGTTTTCATGAATTAATTGTTTTTCGACTACCTAACCTACCTAACCTAACCTAACCTAACTTTTTCGGCAACCTAACCTAACCTAACCCATAAAGATAGGTTAGGTTAGGTTAGGTAGGGTTGGTTAGGTTCGGTCATATATCTACTTTAATTTTAACTACAATAAAAAAAAATTGACCTCATACATAATGAAAAGGGTAGCTTTATCATTTCATAAGAAAAAAATTAGAGAAAATATATTATTTCATGAAAACTTGGCTTATTAGGCAAATCGGGCCTTGCATAGTAGGCTGAGAAGTGCGTTCTGGCTACTAGGTACGACACACATATATATATATATATATATATATATATATATATATATATATATATATATATATATATTATATATATATATATATATATATATATATATATATATATTGGTGGAGAAATGTAAGATCAGAGATGTTAAGATAATAATAAATATAACAATTAACAGTAAATGTTACATTTGATACCAGGCACCCAGGTGAGGAGGCAGGTTTGACCCCATCAGTGACCTGACCTACCCTCTGGTAACACACTTTGGTATTAGCACATGGCTTATTGACATTGGCCAAATTACAGCTTAAAAATATTTCCATCTCATATCTTTTAAATCAAGAAAAGTAGTTTTGCTTTGCTTCACCTGAACTTTCTGGGCAGATCCTAATGCTCCGTTCATTTCTATGACCACAGATCAGAGTCTGTAGATATCTCTGTGGTACCAAAATAAATGCAACGGAGAGCTGATGAGGGGTCAGCCCAGGAGGTAAACATCTGAAGGGTTCCGAACCCTAGTTTATTGTTCTCGTATGTTGTGTCTTTACGTTTGACTTGTGCGGGTTTGGATTTACGTGGCATTCGCAGGAATGTAGTTATAGTGCGGTTCAAGGGTAACCTGTATATTATTCTAGTACAAATGCACAAAGATGTGTCCAGCCATTTGCAGTGAAAGACTTTAACCTCTTAACTGCACGGCCTCCAAATATGATACACCCCCCCCACCAGTGCACAGGAAATAAAATCTCTGGATTTTTTTTCTTTCTTGAAAGTGTCAAAACCCTTCCCTGAGTATGTGTATAGTAACAGAAGGTCGAAATTGTACCTACTTTGGCTACTATGGGGTCCGTAAGTTCGGGCGTGACGTCATCATTCCCTGGTCGCCCGTAGCATACGCCCCCAGGGCCAATAGGGTGCTCAAGGCAGGATGTGCGAGTTGCCGCGAATATATTTTTGTTCATTTTCTGGGCACAGTTCCAAATACATTTTATATGCTTTTACGTGCCAATTCTATGTATAATGAACATGTACACTATATTATGGCAGTAGAACATCCGTACTGTCCGAAGACACTGTGTTACGTGCATGACGTGTACACATATCCGGCACATATTTTCATTGTATTATGCTAATTTATGTATATATACAGTCTATTTACACACTATACACTATCACACTATATACATTCACCATCAACACACTCAGAACTCCGCGAGTGTCAGCTGCCACACCCTCACTCCACCAACATCCAGTCTCTCCCTCACTCCGCCAATATCTTACTCGCCAACATTGCTCCTCCCATCATACTGTTATTGTTTGTATTACACTATTTACACATCTTATGTACACCTATCTACATGTTTTATTCACCAGAACTATGCAAGTAAGCCGGTATTGTGTCCAAACTTTACAGTGGCCACCATACACTGCATGAGAAATCACACAGCAGCCAGCAGACGACGCTACGATTACATCACCTCCCTCACCAAAATAGCTCCTTCCAACATCCTCCTGTTGCTGTTACTACACTATATACACACATTGTATATATTCATGTACAAATGTGCTCACCATAGCGAACCATTAAGCTAGTATGATGAGCAAAACAAGAGTGGATCCCCACAGTGAGGCTACCTTGATTCTCTCCCTTGCTCCCTCACCACAATTACTCCTCCCACAATACTACGCACAGTGCTTATTATCACCACAATCCTGCTGTTATCACAATACTGGTCACTAAATCCTGTAAATACATAATTGACCACAAGTTTATTTTGTAAAGGAACCTAAGAAGTCGTTTGAAGATTCCTAGATGGACGAAATAATGCTGTGGTGCTGTGGCTAGCGCTGTGAACATCGTGAACAGCATTGAATCACTAATATTTGAACATTGTACACAGTCATTATCACACTCAGGCTCTTCTGTAATACTATCATGGCTAAATAATACAAGTTATATATATATATTGACATTATTAGGCAATGCTGTGGTTACAAGCTGGACAGCAGTGCTGTGCGCTCATGCTGTGTGCTCCGGCCTTGATTGCTCACTCATTACTGAGGCTCTCACACCCGGTAATGTGGGCCACAATTTTTTTTTAAAGATGACGTCTGTTTACAAGAGCCGCGAGGAATCTGATGTGACCCCATATAGCCGCGGGAGTTTTGAATGGAACGAGAAAAATACAAATACCCGGAGGCACGTAGCGCACCCCAGATGTGGGCCTGCAGGCGCGTTGCGCAGTTAAAGGGTTAAGAAAGTTCAATGCAATTAATAAATAATAAAAACCCATCCCACACATAAGAAAGTGACAATGTTTCAGAAGTGGAAGAAAGCAAGAGGGAAGGTGAGTAGAGGTGAGGAGAGAAAGAGAGAGAGAGAGAGAGGGGGGTCAAGGGAAGTGGTAGAACAAAGGATGAAAACTGAGCTAACATAGGGATAACTTAAACCGCAGAAGACCTAAAGGTAGGTAACATAAGCAGAAAAAGTAAGTGAAATGTGAAAAGAAAAAAACCAGCGCTGAATGTAATGAAATGCATTTTCTGGGTGAGCCCCAGAGGCTCCCCGGAGCTTATTGGGCTAATGTATTTTATATTAGACCAGGACATTAGCTTCAGACCTGCCAGGGACCATGAGCCAGAATCTGGCCCCTTCAGATAGGTTTCAGGGACCAATGGCCCTGGAAAACTTCCCTGTGGTTGGGGTTTTCCTTATCTGCCATCGACTGGGGTTAGGCACCCAGAAAGGTAGGCATTACAAAACAAATCCCACATGGTAACAAACTAACAACAAAAACCGAACAGAGAGGTAGAACTCCTTTCAATCCCAAGGAAACAAGGAAACGTAACACACTACTGTCGCTCCGCTCGTCCATCCAGCCATCCTTTTCCCGAGAGGAGGAGGGGGGAAGACCCCAGACCTCACTACACCAACTGCATAGCACTCCAGTTTGGAAGCTAAGCTTCAACCAACGCAAAAAAACGCCGACCAGTGGGAGGGAGGGTTGCCAGGGAGCCTCCGGGGCTCACCCAGAAAATGGCGTTTTATTACATTCAACACCGGTTTTCTGAGGGGAGCCCCTGGACTTACCCAAAGAGAAGGAAAAGAGAGAGGGCTGACCCGGGAGGCGGCCGCCACAAACTCTGCAACGCGAAGTCGAGACAACAGGTCGCAACCTGCGACCCAGGGCAACAAAAACGCACAGGAGTAGACGCACATAAAGAATGGGCGGCCAAGAACCTGTGCCCTGAGACCCGAGCCCTGAAAACAGGGAACGAGGGAAACCGGATGAACCACAGCGCATCCCCAGACACGGTACGCAGGCAACGGCAAAAAGCACAACCGGACAACACAGGACGCACCCCCGGCCAAACCAATCAAGCATCAATAACCCAAGAACCCCTCCGGAAAGCAGCCGTTTCGACTGTCGCCAGGACGGAGAAAGGCTGCACATGTACAAATCTACCACCAGTACCAAAGAGCAGAAACCTGAACCGAAGGGGCTACTACAAACTGAGGAGAAGATAAGAAGGCACCCTGATCAAGGACCAGGATGGCTCAGGCGACACATGAGCAGGCCGGAGGTGAAACAAAACACGAGAAAGCGTACGAAACGTCATACTGTCGCCAAGACGAAGCTCGCAGGTGGAACACCGTCAACAAAGCCACCTGAACACCACAAAGATGGTGATACCCGCTTCAAAATACCAGACGCGAAGAGCCGAGGAGAAGGCCGAACCAGTCACGTACAGGACTGATTATTCGATCTGTCGAAAGAGGCGGAGCCGCGGGAAAACGCCCCGGGTTCGGACACCTATCAAACAGCGTCTGAAAATAAGGCTGGGCTGGCCACCAAGGAACCATAAGGACTGCTCTCGTGGGAATGGGCTGCAACCGAGCCAGAACCCGAAGCAACAGCTGGATCGGGAGAAGAGGAACAGGTACCCCTACCTCGACCAGTCCTGCCGAAAAGCATCCCCCATGAATGCCTCGCAGGTGGGAAAGGGCTCCACATAAAATGGGCGATGCCTAGACCACACCGACGCGAAGACGTCCACGGCCAGGAGTCCATATGTCCGACAGAGCCAACAAAACGAGTCGGCGACGACTGGCCAATCCACGAAGAGAGGAATGAACCAAGACAGCTGTCCGCGAGGACGCAGGACACACCCTGAACATGAACCTCACAGTTAGCCAAACCCCTGTGGTTCCGGCAAGAACCGCCAGAGAACAGTCCGAACAGAGCTGAATGGTAGAGCAGCGAGTGATCCATACCCTCCGAAGCGCAAACCAGACAGCCACGAACTCCCAAACCGTGCTGTAAGCCCAACGGACGGACAGACTCCACCAACCTCGACCGACCTGGTGAGCACTGGTCACAAAGCCTCAGCCGAGAGATGACCCGTCCGTGAACACATCGAGCGAAGGCTCGGGGAGGTGCCAAGGTACAGAACCCTGAAAACCCCAAAGAGGAAGCTGGTGACGCAGCACCAACACAAGATTCCTGGAGGACCGGAGGAACGAACCCAACGATTGCAAGAGGCAGAAGGGGAGTCTCCGAAGGAACCAAACAGACGCCGAATCCAAACCCGACCCCGCAGGCAGACCAGCACGTCGAAGTTCAGACTCCCACACAACTGCTCAAGCAACGCTGAGCAACCAGTGACCCCCTCATGTACAGACGAAGGCGGGACCACAGCCGCAGTAACACTTCTGGAGGGAAAGACAATGACTGGCCCAATGGCCCTAAACAAGGCCCAGGTCCGAACCCAGGACGGAAACAGATGGAATGGCCTCCATATCACCAGGAAACCAAACCCGGCGATCTGGAAAGAACCACACCCCCGGCGAGCAGACAAGCTGACTGACTGGAAGCCCACACCAGCCAGTCGTCGAGGTAGGCCAGACACTGAATCTTAGACTCAGACAGGGCACTAAGATCCGGTAAAGATGCAAAAAAAAAAAAAAAAAAAAAAAAAAAAAAAAAAAAAAAAATATATATTATATATATACTGTATGTATATATGTATATATATATATATATATATATATATATATATATATATATATATATATATATATATATATATATATATATATATATATATATATATATATACATATATATATATATATATATATATATATATATATATATATATATATATATATATATATATATATATATATATATATATATATATACTGTATGTATATATATATATATATATATACATACACACACACACACAAGTTGAAAAACCTGACTTTAGGAGAGGACATTATGGCAACCTTAGAAAAATTT